CTTGTAGCAACCTGTTCTAGTGGAAGTGGCCCCTGCCCGTGGCAGGGGTTGGAGCTGGGTGAGCTTTAAGCTCTCTCCAACCCAAACCAGGCTGGATTCTACGGTACAGCCTTGGGGAACAGCGCATGGTTCAGTGGGATGACGGTGCCCAGCAGCAGAGGGAAGAGTCTGCCCACACGGGATAAGAGGGAAGGTGAAGTCACACCTTCACCCGGTGATGAGCTCAGTGCCAAGAAAGCAACTGCCCAAAGCCTCTGACTGTAACCGTACCCATCCACGTGTGAACCCCGACTGGCACAGTTCCTCCGGACATCTTCCCCGGGGTGAGCTGATGGGAAAATGTGATCCATCGCTTGCATTCCTATTGACCTAGTTGTGGTGTTTCCGCTCATCAGCAGCACATTGTCTCCACTTGTACTCAGAGCTCAGAGCTTTGTTTACTGAGAAAACATCCGCTCGCCTGCCCCAGTGATCTGGGAGCACTTCTGAAGGCAGCGAGGTGAAAGCTGCTGAGAAAAGAGTGATTTCATTTGGCTTTAGGTGCCTGCTGCGGTTTCATGACAAGCTCTTTCAGATGCTCTGCTCACCCCAAATGCTCTCTACAATTAACAAAAGCTGGGTGCTGGGCAGGACTGAGAACAATGCATTCGAAAAGGAGATGTTGTTCTGAGTCACCAAAGGAGTTTGCCTGCAATGCCGTGGGAGGGATGCAGAGGGGAACCTATGAGAGAAACCGAAATGAAGTCCCTTCAGCACAGGGCCACCGGCAGAAGGGAAAGTTGAGCTTTCCCACCATTTGCTTTGTCACTGCTTTAGGTTTTTCCCTCTCCTGTATCCTCTGAGCTCTTGTGTCTCCAGGACAACCCCGTCACCGGAGAGGAAGAGAGAACAGACATAGCCAGAACACCACAGAAAGCATCACCAGCATCCGGGGAAGGAAAGGTTGCGTGGCAGTTTCCGTTCCTTTTTCTCCTTGGTATGAATGAGAGAAAGCTCTTGGAGCGCAGAGCAGCACGAGGCAGCCCCAGGCAGAGACGAAGGTGTCGCTGCTTGCGATGTTCATGTCTCCGTGGAAGAAAAGAGCAGAAGATGGTGGTTGTAGCTGCTACGGTGGTAATGGCAGGCTGCAGCCCCGCTGCTCACCATGGCCCTCAGCCATGGAGACACTCACGAGGAGGTCAGCAGAAGTTCCAGGCTCCATCAGACATACACTCCAGCTCCCAGTGCCCCGCAGGTAGATCAGAGCAGGGTGCAGAGCACCATCTCCACCTCATTTTCCCCAGAGACGTGAGGGGACATCTGCCCCTGCCAAGCCACCCTCCAGAGCAGCAAAGAGCAATGGGAAGAGCTGCAGGGATTGGCACTGGGGTGATGCTGTCCCCCCGAGCCACCCTGCTCCAAGGGCCACCATCCCCTGTGCCCCCTTCCCTCCTCACCTCCCTGTCCTGCTGTACCACCCACGGATGCACCTCAAGACAACCTTTCCCAAGGGATCAAGGTAGCTGAAGAGCAGGGAAAGGCACAGGAACAAGCCCCAGGGACCCCACAGAGGATTAAGGGCCCCAAAGCGGCATG